CATTGTACTGAGGTAGATACTTGTCTCTACTTGACACATATTAGCTCCTCTGGTTACGACTTCTCACTAGAACTCTGAGAATTCCCTAACGAAGCTAGTCACTAGTGAGCACATGGTAATTATCAGTATAGGGTTGTGGAGATTATTCTATTTTTGATTGAGATCATAAACTGATTGATGCTAGACCACCATCGGAAACCTGAAAGCACTAGACGGCCGTTTCACTCTATTGTGGGACTCCTCAACAGTGCGCATCCACGATCCCGCCCGCGAGATTCGAATAATTTGACTCACACAACCTATAACTTCTTGAAATGAAGTTATATTTTGTTTTGATAAATGCTTTATTATGTTATTTGATATCTATGATTTGGTAGACACTGACCGAGCATACACAAATTTCATTGTAACTATCTTGTGTAATAATGGTAACCAACTTTCGAAATTTCCAATAGAAAAAAAGGTATTAATCTGATGCACATCAGTTGGTTATCTTCATCTAAATTGGATTGCTCTAGGGACAATCTACTTCTGTGGGTCACTTCTATATCTGTTCTAACGTCATTGAATTCGTGATATTGTGAGATCATTATCCTTTAGTGTTGATGGGTGTCTCGCTCTCGATATGGTTGAGTTCCATTAAAGTTAGTTTTTTTTAAATAAAAATTACTAATATACCTTACTAAAATGTATCATCTTCGTGGGAAAACAATGAACTGTGTTTATTTTCACGAATTGAATGTTTTGGCTTGTGTAGCTTATGAAAGTCTACTTTCTTGATGTTCTTTACTTACTTATGCCTGTTACTCCTAATGGAGCAAAAACCGCCGACCAGCATTCTCCAACACACTCCGTCCTGGGCCTTCTTTTCTAGTTCCATCCAATTTTGTTCATTTTTTTCATGTCTGTCTCCATTTCCTGGTGTAATGTGTTCTTTGGTCTTCCTCTTTTCCTTTGACCTTGAGGATTCCATGTGAGGGTTTGCCTTGTGATGCAGTTGGGTGCTTTTCTCAATGTGTGTCCTATCCACTTCCAGCTCTTCTCCCTGATTTCTTCCTCCACTGGGATCTGGTTTATTCTTTCCCACAACAGGTTGTTGCTAATAGCGTCCGGCCAACGGATCCGAAGTATTTTGCAGAGACAACTGTTAATAAACACCTGTATCTTCTGGATGATAGCCTTCGTAGTTCTCCAGGTTTCCGCCCCATACAGTAGAACTGTCTTGACATTTTTATTGAAAATCCTGACTTTGGTGTTGGTTGACAGAGAGTTGTTTTGAGTTCCAGATGTTCTTCAATTGTAAATATACTGCTCTTGCTTTACCGATCCGCGCTTTCACATCTGCATCAGATCCTCCATGTTCATCAATGATGCTGCCCAAATATGTAAAGGTTTCTACATCTTCCAAATCTTCTCCGTCAATTGTGATTGGATTAGTGCATGCTGTGTTGTATCGGAGGATCTTGCTTTTCCCTTTATGTATATTGAGACCTACTGCTACTGATGATGCTGCTACACTGGTCGTCTTCTTCCGCATTTGCTGTTGCGTTTGCGATAGGAGAGCCAGATTGGTGATCTTTATAGCCATTAAGATTATCTTGGGAAAGCAAAGTTATTTTCTTCCAGATCAAAATGAAAATGATGTTATTGAACAATTTATTACATAAAACTCAGATAAGGATTAAAAGTTATCATTAGAGTGTAGGTTTAGAGGTTTGTTTTAGATTGTACATTAAATGAAATAATAGAATGGAATACGTTGTAGTCATATAATTGAATATTAATGCAATTAGTTCTTTCATTTTAAATTTTAGGAAGTTTTATGTTATTTTAATAGTTGAGATCATGAATCAATTGAAGCTAGACCATCAACGTATACTTACTAGTGACTGGTTTCAAGAGGTATTTCCTGGAGTTCTAGTGAGAAGCAGTGGCTAATAGAATTCAACCGGGTCTGTTGTAAGATAGTAACTTACTGAAAACAATGGTAGATTTGTCGCGCAATTTCGTGGATTAGATTGAGTTAAGCGTTAACAGAGTTGGATGTCGGATCGCTTAGTGTTCTAGAGGTTAAGCATTCGTGCGTTTAACGGTGACATAAATGTCATTTACATACTGTAGCCAAACTTTAGTTAAATTTACACATTTTGTGATTTCATTTATTTCTAAGAAATGTATCAAGATTTTTGTTACGGTAACCAAAACTGGTGAACCTATTGCCATACCTTTCTACCTATAAAGATATCGGAATAAGAGTAAGGTCAATCATCAATAGAATTCCAAACGTTGAATATAAACTCGAAAAGATCGAACGGATATTGTAAGTTCAAATCTGAGTCAGATTTTAAACAATCGTAAGTAATATTTAGTACTTTAGTGACAGACGCATTAGTGAATAAGAAAGAAACCCAAATGCCCTAGTACGGCCGAGAGTGGGGAGAGTCCGCTCTTCCCCTCGAAATGCTCTCACATGGCCACGCATATATAGCCTATGCCAGGGAAGTTCTACTCACTGCCTTCTCGCACCACGAGTGTTGTTTACAAAATTAAGAGGACGAAAGGCGAATGTCCGGCGTTGTAACCGGGTTAGTGGACACTGAGAGTTCACCTAAGGGAGTTGGAAAACCCTCATTGCAAACCAATAGTGATCATGGGCTCCAGTATCCTGAGTGGGAAAATGGCTTATAAACCAATTATTAGTCACCGGCTACCATGGGACTGTATCTGCTTACGATGACCCACTACCTCGTGGACCAGACCTTCAGATCGACGGCTCCGAGGGTGGCCCCCTAAGAAAACCACCTGTTTCGGTTTGAGAGCATATCTATTTGGTGCCTCGTTGTACCAATATCTATATGTTGAAATAAATAAAAACTTTCCATCAGTCCATCCTCTTCCATGTGAATGATGTCGATATTATTCTTGAAATCAATAGTGTTTAATTCCATAATTAACTAATTTTTCATATGGTTTGAGATATAGTCGTTGCGTAATTTCTGTCAGACTATTAGTTCAAATATTGACGAATATTCATATAGTTCATAAAGCTGTTGTCTGTCGGTTTCAGTTGTGTTGATAGATGAAGACTATCTAATTATGATAATCGTAATCAATGGTTATATAAGTTGAATAACATATCGTAGAATCTGTGTCAGTAGTACATTACTGCTATTCGGACAGCTTTTGTTGTCTTTGTAATGTTATTCTCACCTTGTTGATTTTGTATCATGGTAACTTAGATCATAAACTCCGCCTTTAGTCGTTTTAGGGCTATTGTCAGTTCCAAGCCGAGGTAAAGAAGGAGGGTTAAGCGTGGGGTCATCATACCTATCCTGTAGAAAACAACCTTACTAAAAAAATGGTAACTAGAATAAGTAAGTCAGTTAGATGATTATACATCTGTCTCAAATCTTACATTAACTCACTTACTAACTTGGTCTTTTTTCAGCTACTAATTTGATATTAGACATAAAAGAGATACATTAAGTCAGATTTCACATTTAATTGTTATAAATATTTGTACTAATAATACTGTCATGTATGCTACTGATATTGATAGATATATATGTAGTATGTATCATCAATCATTAGTCAAGTACTTGAAGGTAGAAGGTTAAGAGAATTAAAGAAACGAGAACGACAACAGACAATAATTGGTGTGAAAATGAAAGAACAATGAATTCTAAGACGATTGATTAAGATTTTTGCAAATAAATTGCTTACCGTATTGTTCTCACATATTACTAAGATATTCTGTAATGATGTTGTATTGAGATACATTTGGTTATCCCCGCTTGTGTTGCCGTTCACTAAAATCATAACCGGTTAGGAGACGAAGATTGAATCCTTTTGTTCAGTAGCTAGAATTGATCTCTTTTAACTTTTAAGATCATTACCCTATATAGAATGATCATTTAATTATAACAACATAGATATAAGCGAACAATATTGTTTTCGATTAGATCCTCATCAGGCTTTACTTTATTATACAGTAATGTATTTATATATGCATATACGAAATGGATTAAACCAATGAAGGCAGTTTATGAGTCACGGATAATAATAGAATAGATTACATAAATAAGCATAATAAGTAAGTAAGTACAAATTGGTAGTGTGGTGATAGGTGTACTAGTTGTGATAAGAATAATAAAGGCTTACAATCAACGTTACATAATAGGAAATAGGTCAATGATTCGAAGAAAAATATAGATACTGAAATAACATTCAGAGAAAGATGATAAGATTACGTAATAAAATGGTGTTCAGATAGCTGGATCGTAAAACGTATATTTCAAAGAAAAAAAATAATTAGCAGGAGTTTTGTGGAGATTTTAGAAATCTCACGGATTGAAATCATGAGTCAATTGAATCTAGACCACCATAAAAAACCTGGAAGCACTGGACGGCCGTTTCGTCCTAGTGTGGGCCTCCTCAGCAGTGCGCATCCATGATCCCACCCCCAGCGAGATTCCAACCCAGGACCTATCAGTCTAACGCCAGGCACTTAACCAACTGGACCACTGAGCCGGCATCCAATGGTGTTAATGTCTAACTTCAACTAATTCACGAAGCTGCACCACCGTACACAATTTTCTTCAGTGAGTTGATATCTCACAACAGACCTGGTTGAACTTCACTGGTAACGGCTTTTCACTAGAACTCCAGGAGTATATCTTGAGGTCAGTCACTAGTAAGCAGATGATTCTTATCAGAACGGGTCTTGTGGAGATTTTTTAGAAATTTCACTCATTGAAATTATGAGTCAATTGAATCTAGACCACCATGGAAAACACGGAAGCACTGGACGGCCGTTTCGTTGTAGTATGGGACTCCTCAGCAGTGCGCATCCACGATCCCGCGAAATGCGAGATTTGAACTCAGGACCTATCAGTCTCGTGACACTTGCTTAACCAACTGAATCATTGTTTATCATTTATATCCAAAATACTCCTTTTCTATCCATTTTTATTTGTATTTTTGTTGTTATCTTCTTTACAGAAAAGAATTATGCAATATCCATTACTAAGACAATTATGGCTTGTTACATATTCTCCCATTCTCAAATCTAAATTCTATATTCATTCCTACAGGAAACAACAATATTCTACTTCACCTATTTATATTTATCCATTAACCAAATCTATACCATTATGTTTACCAAAAATATTTGATCAACAATTTATTACTAATTATTGTCATATATATAATTTACCATGTTATTATAATCATGATCAAATTATTAGTAAATTACGTAGAGTTCAGTCAACACGTCGTGCTGAACTATTACATAATCAATTATATAATAATAGTACTGATCATACTGATCATAATCATGATTATCATGATGATCGGATCAAATCTTTATCCACTTCTCAATCATTATTTCATCAACATCAATCACGTCAATATATTCAAATTGCATTATATAATTATGTATTAAATAATTTACTTGGTTTATCTAATCTACAATCTACATTGAATATTCATAATCATAATAATCATACTATACCATTCTTATTAGATCTTGGTTGTGGAATCAATCATTTAGATATTATTAATCATTATTTATTAACTATATCAAATTTTAATCAAAAATTCATACCATTATGTATTGATCTATTCAATAATAATAATAATACTAATACTCGTCCTCCTCCTAACACTACTACTACCACTACTACTCGTAATACTAATACTGCTACCACTACTACTACTACCAATAATAATAATAGTAATAATACTGCTACTAATACTCCTCCTCCTCCTAACGCTACTACTACTACTCCTAATACTAATACTGCTACCACTAGTACTACTAATACTACTACTACTAATAATAGTAATAATACTACTACTAATACTCTTCCTCCTAATACTACTACCACTTCTACTCGTAATACTAATACTGCTACCACTAGTACTACTACTAATAGTAATAATGGTAATGATATATTCAATTATAATATTCATTTAATTAAATGTAATTTAATGAAAGATGATATCATAACAACTAGATCACAATTATTACCATTTAAAGATTATTCTATAGATTATATTATATCTATATCTTTTTTACAATGGTTATTAAGAAAAGATAAATCATGGTATATGATCAAACAATTAATGAATGAAATTAAACGTTTATTAAATCCATCAAACAATAGTCAATGTATATTACAATTTTATCCAAGTCAATTAATTGATATTCAATTAATTAGTGAAATGATTGAAACAATTCAATCGAATTTTAATGGTTGTTTATTAATTCATCAACCTATAATGAATCGTGGTATGAAAATTTTTATTTATTTAACATATAAATGATTCATTACAATGTATATTATGTTTCTTGTTTATTATTGTTTATTTAAGTAATAAACTATGTGTATGAGTTGAAATGGAAGGTTTAAGGTTCTAGATTCTATTTGATGCAGGATGATGGATACGCACTGATGAGGAGTTACACAATAGGACGAAATAGGTGTTTTTCAATGGTGATCTAGCTTTAGTTGATTCATGAATTCAACTATTAAATGTATATATATGTATCAATCAGTTCTCAATACCGTAGAACTTTGTACGTATATACATCAGTTTGAGTTGTCATACCATATTAGCACATAGATACAATTGTTGATTCAAATCCCTTAGTAAAATTATAAGCGATAATCGGGAATATTAGGGTTTGAAGATGTTATCCAAGGAGTATAATACAGTGAAATAAATTCGAAAAGAGGAAAAAAAGGGACATGGGAAATTCAGAAGATTAGAATTTTGGAGAATGCAAAGAGTGCGTGCACCTGCGTCATTGCAAACGATTTTGAGCCATGTCATTCACGGTCTCTAATCATTGGTTGCTATCATCTCGCGGTCCCCAACCAGGTAGTCTACACCTAACAAAATGACTCAGTCTACTTGTCAGTGACTTAATGGACTTGTGCCATGTTTTGGTCTGGCCGCCCCTATCTTTTTTTCAACCTACTCCTATACCACTGAACATCGCACATCGAGGCAGTCGGTCGTTGGGCATACGTAACACATGTCCCAGCCATCTCAACTGATGAAGTTTCACTACTTCAACAATTGATTTGCCATCCTTACCTAGTACCCGTTTCCTAACAACTGTGTTACTTACTCGATGGTCTCAGAATATACGAACAATGCATCGAAGTCACCTATGATCGAATACTAGTAACCTACGAATATCCTCTACTCTTACCGGCCATGTTTCACTGCCATAAAGTAGGACGGAACGAACTGCTGTGCAGTAAACCCGTCCTTTGGTTGACAGACGGATATCTCGCCTACGCCATAAATGACGCAAGTTGGCAAAAGCTAGTCGAACCTTCTGTATCCGTGCTGAGATTTTTTCACACACCGAAGCACAAGGACTGATGAGACTTTCAAGATAAGTGAAGCGGTCGACACACTCAACTACTTCACTCCCTATCACTAGTTCGGGTGTCGATGTAACCCAATCCTGAAGCAACATTTTGCATTTCAAGGGAGAGAATCGCATCCCGAACATGCTTGCATTGTTGCTTAGAGTGGTCAGAAGACTCTGCATTTTATCAGTGTCTTCACCAGATAGAACTATGTCATCGGCATATTCTAGGTCAAAATGTGAATCTCCTGGTAGAAGTTCAACCCCTGAAAATGTACATGAAGGAAATGCCATCTCTAAAAGTACGTCAACGATCAAATTAAACAAGAATGGAGAGAGTGGATAGCCCTGACGAACACCACTTGAGGTAATCAATTCTGATGACAGTTCGCCATAAGCTCTCACTCTACCAGTTGTGTTCGAGTAGAGAGCCTGAATGAGGTTAATGTACTTCTTTGGTCCTTCTTTCAGTGACAAACACTGCCACAGAACCTTACGATCGACAGAGTCAAATACTGCTTTAAGGTCGAGAAATACTACGATTGTGGGGCGTCTGAACGTGTGTTTGTGTCCTAGAACCTGACGTAGTGTGGATATCTGGTATATACAACGACGTCCAGATCGAAAGCCAGCCTGGTTTTCTCTAGTCTGCTCTTCACGAACTTTAGTTAGGCGTCGAAGTATTATTAAAGCTAATGTTTTAGACACTATATTAGTCAAACTGATTCCTCTGTGATTGTCACAAGAGGACTTTTGTCCTTTCTTATAGACTGGCACAATCAGTGATTGAGACCAGTCAGATGGGATTACGTCCAGTTCCCAAATTCTTCCTAAGACCTCAGTCAATCTCATTGCTAATATATATATATATATATATATTTTTAAGAAAAACATACTTTTTTTGCTGTCCTTTTACCTGTGTTGTTTTAAGCAAAAAGCACGAAAAATCTAGATTATCATCGAAAACGTGGACGCACTGAATAACTGTTCCCTCCTAAGTATGGAACCACACATCAATGAGCATCCACCACTACGTAACTGGGAATCGAACCTGGGACCTCTCTCGCACGCAAACGTTTAACCTCTAGATCATCGATCTGGCATCCAATGGTATTCAAACAATTCTTGATCTCAAACTGAAACACCAAGAGTTCTAATGAGAAACTCTGATCAGTGGTATTCAACCATGTTGGTTGTAAGATAGTTAGGCATCACAAACAATTGAAGATGGTTGCTGAATGCTACGAAATGATCGAAGTTGTGATTGTAAACAATGGGATGGCAACTCAGTGGTTTAAAACTTGGGTTCTATTCGTAGTAGGTTCGAAGATGCTCATCATTGAGAAGTCTCATACATGGTTGAAATAATTATTCGCTGTTTCTTGGTTTTCAGCCTGACAATTTTCGTAGACCCTTAACAATAAAAATGAGTTTATTCATTATTATAAATAAAATTGGTCGCTTCCAGCGCTAATTTTCAACTGAATTCTAGTTTCATTTAATCCTGAACAAATTCAGTACATAAAGGCAAATTTACTTCTAAAGGTGATGTAGTTAGAACAGTCAAGGTATACTTATATGTAATGTCATTAGTTATGAGGTACCTTGCGAAGATGAAAAATTCCTCGATAATTTTTTGAATCTTCATCAAATAAGATGATTGAAGTTTGCATTTCATATGACGAATCATTGAGATAGTGTCTGTGATAGGAATACGTTTGAAGTAAACTAATTTGTCTTTAGCAAACCATCAGCGATTCTGTCTTATTATCAAAACAGAATGAGAAGTGTTCAAAGGTCTACCATAAACATAGCGCATTTTACCATATTCCATGGAGTTCTGTTATCCGTTTTAAAGAATGAAAAGTATGGAGCCTGTGTTTTAAAAGCTCATGAACAGGTTGTGTATAACGCGTCTCAAGGAGAAAGTTCTTGAGTTATATTATCACGCTCCTAAGTTGACATGTAAACTACTATTCTTACTTAGTTCTCGCAATAAGAAATATCTTTCTACACTGTTAGGAACATGATTGTTATTCAGTACCCCAGTCCAGATTATCTCTCTGTTGGAGTGATCGAAAAAAATTGCTTGCAAAAGACAAGCAAGCATCAGAAATCACTAAGATGCGTTTCGTCCAATCAGCGTTCACTTGAGGTTTTTGCCAAAAATATCAAGGAAGCGAAACGTCACATGTAGATGTTCTGATTGGTTGATTGCTACACTGCTATTATCTTTAGTAGCATTTCCAGAATCTTCGAGCAACTCAAGGACATTTAAAATATTATAGAAATCCTGTATTTTCTGTATTAAAATGAACCTTGGAGTAAAGTACTTCTCGCATACTTTGAACCTTCTCTCTCGTGTTCAGGTCGCTGTATAGTTCTAGCTTGAGGGTTACAGAATAACTTAGGAGACGAATATAGCGTTCAATCCGCAAGACTTATCACTCTCACTATGATACTTTGTGTAAAATAATTTGAATTTCATGATAAGCTTGTTATCAACTTCCTTCAAATAGAAAATATGTTTCTCTGATGAGTACAAATAAGTCAAGGATCATGGTACATATCCTTTTATAGATTGGGTACATCTAACATATATTAACGATGTGATGTTTTATGTCTAAAAATGAGTGCTGACAATGTTATAATAAACAGCTATAATAAGTTTACAATTAAACTACTCAACTCAAAGATCTTCATATTACCTAAAGACCTGTTTAATATATCTTTTAGTTGAACGATTTAACTACTTCATAGTCCATTACCAGTGGAGTTCAACCAGGTCTGTTGTGAGGTAACAACTCACTGAAGACAATGGTGTACGGTGGCGCAACTTCGTGGATTATTTGAGGTTAGACATTAACACCGTTGGATGCCGGCTCAGTGGTCTAGTGGTTAAGTGCTCGCGCGCGAAGTCAGTAGGTCTTGGGTCCGAACCCCGCGTGGTGCGGGGTCGTGAATGCGCACTGCTGAGGAGTCCCATACTAGGACAAGACGGCCGTTTAGTGCTTCCTGGTTTTCCATGGTGGTCTAGCTTCAATCGACTCATGATTTCAACCTGTGAAATTTCTGTGAAAATCTTCTATTCTTAAACTTTGTGAAGTGAACATAACTTATCAAATATAGAAGCAGGGTATTTATACGAATACATATGAACTTGACACTGTAGAAACTTCTGAAAAGAACAGACCAAAAATTAGTACCAGGTTTAAATCCTGTCCAATCAACATTATGGATATATAATCGATCATTTTCTGGAATTCTTTTAGAATTTTCCAATGATCATTAATAATTGGTCGATGTATTTTCATGTTTTATTTGGTTTATAAAGAAATTTCCTAGGAATTGTCAGGAGATCTTAATGATTCAATTTATTAACATTTCTGTATAAGACTCTTCACTGTAGTTGGTGCATAGGTCATGTTTATTTTAATAAATCGGTTGGTTTTTGTTTGGTGTCTTTTTGATTTTTAAAGATGAGCTTGTAGGTCTTCTAGGGCTACTGCCGATTCCAAGCCCGGGTAAAGAAGAAGGGTTGGGCGTGGAGTCGGCAGTCTTATCCCGTAGAAAACAATCTTGCTAAAAACGACAAGTAGATCTGGACATATGTTTTACTCTAATTTACATCATTCACCAAGGAATGTATGAACTATATGGGGGAGCAGATATCACATTTATTTCAAACCTGTTTCACTGAGTTGTACTGGCTGCCCATAACATCCTGTAGGATTGAATGACGATGTTTTTAGTCATAAAGTGAATTTGAACCTCACAGGGTGTATCAGTTTTATCAAGATTACAAATAAGATTTGATCAAAAGCACGCAAATCATCAAACTGCATCACGACACAAGCCCTAACTTGGAATCCTGAAGGGAAACGGAAAAGAGGAAGGCCTAAGAACACATTACGTCGGATAATAGAAGCAGATATGAAAA